GGTCAGCCTGTGGCACTGCCGTGTACATCCCTCCACCCTGCAGCAGGAAGGATTCATAATTAATGATTATAAATCAAATCAGGGCAGGGACACCCCGGAGCTCTTGGGCTCAGTTTCCCAACTCTGACCACGCTATCAATGCCCTGCTCCGGGCTGTACGTGGCACAGCAACACTGAGCGATTGTCCAAAGGCCAGGGGAGGGCTTTGCCAGTGTGTGTGTCAGGGAAAAGTAAATAACTGCAGCTTAGACAAGTATGTGGTCATTTCCCTGGTCTGTTTTCAGCTTAATATGCTGAGGTTTAATTTAATAAACACACTGTAAATATATTTATTTTTAACGCTGATGACAGACACGAAAGCGAATTGCTGCTCATTAGCACGCAAGGCTTGTTTAGGGAGACAGAGGATTAAATTTGCAGGGCTGATGTCACACACAAACCCATCCCACTTTCCTGTAATTACTCCGATTAGATCAGTTTACTTCACTACACTGATTTTTGAACCGTTTCGTATTTGCACAGATGGGGTAATTCCTCAGCCAGCAATGACTCCGGGTGAGAGGGATTTTGTGTTGTTGGTTTTGGCTAACGGGGCCATTACAAGCCAGTTGAAATGCCCAGATTAACACATACCTCATTGTTGGGGAGCAGGCAGACAGTGATGTGGGAGCCACTCCAAGGGGGCTGCAGAGCCAGGCTCTGCCCTGGGCTCCAGGAGGGAGCCAGGCTGGGAAGGCTCACCTGGCTTTTGGCAGCTCAAGTGCCAGGCAACTTCTAGCAATCCCTATTTTCGCACAAACAGAGCTTACCCTGAAGTTTTTGAGGGATAGGGAGCACTGAGGAAATGCCTAATTAGCCTTGATTGCCATCCTGGCCAGTTTCTCCCTTCCTCATTTAAGCCAATCACTGAAACAATAAAGAGCAACCTAACAGGATCAGAACATCCTGTTCCTCTGCCTCGCCCACGTGCCAGCCCCAGCCCTTCTCCATGGCAGAGATCCTGTGACTCAAACTTTCCTAACAGGGAGTGGGGAAAGAAAAGCTCAACCCCATCACCTGCTCCCAGCAGGAGAGAGGTGTTGGGTGGACATCTCAGCACAGAGGAGCTCCAGGCACCAAGACCTGTGTCATCACACATGTATTTCATTTTTCCCCCCAAGAAAATAAGAATGGAAGGGACAAAACTTAATGCAAACTCCCAGTCTTTCTCCTAGGCAAGCTTTTGAGCACTGCAGATCCTTCCTCCCTGAGAGCTTGGAGATTTTTGGAGAGTTTCACCCACTGGGAGGTTGGACAGGACAAAAAAAAAACCCCAGTTTGGGCCTTGGGTGTGCTTGAAAACAACCAAAAGTGGGCACTTCTTGCTCCATGGGTAGGCCAAGGGCAGAATGGGGTAAAGAACTGACTGGTCTGGGCTCAGACTGGAGGGAAGTGAAGTGGCAACTACTGTGCAAGTGCTAATTTGTTGTTCAATAAAATGAAGTGCTTGTGCTCAATTACCAACACAAACAATAGACCCGTTTTTTTTCTCCAGAAACAGCATGGGTTATTCAGACTTTTGAACTTTTTCTTTCAGTTTTCCTGGGCAATGTTCACAGTTTTGAGTAAGTTTAGCAAGTTTGAATGCAAGCCATCTGTTTCCATAGACAATAATGAAATCATTATTCTCTCTTGGAAACAGGACACGTTTCAGCAAATGAAGTATTTTTCCACAGCATACAAAGGCTGGGTCGCAGACTGAAATTAGTTTTTAATTTTATTTTCAATTTCAAAACAAAAAACGAGCCTGTCTCAACAGTCACAAACAGGGGACTGAAAAAAAAAGAAGAAAAGCAGTTATGGCTGTGCTGCAGCTCAAGATGTATGGGGCACTTCATTCCATGGAACCTCCTGCGCCATTCGTGCTTTGCCATAATTAATAGCATTGCTCAGAGTTACAGATCTGAAACAGGTGGGGGAAAAACGGGTGATCCATAAAGCTGCAGAATAAGCAGCTATAATTAAATGTATTTAACTTGGAGATTGAGAAATACCATATGTACAAGTAAAGTATCTCAGCCCAGCACTGAGGCATTCTCAGAGCTTACATGCTGTTAGGAGGAGGGTAGAGGCAGATTTCCCAGAGTAAGTGGAATTCTTGCTGTCATCTGATATTCTCAAATGAAAACCATGATGTTTGTATCACAAGTATCAGCCCAGTTGCTTCCTCTGGGATAAGGAATTCAGTGGAACTGGCTGTTATCAGTGGATGAGCATTCCCCCACCCAAACTAAGCCTGCTGCCACAGCCCCTGAATGATCCCCACGGGCTGGGCTGAGCCTCCCACCCGGCGCAGGACCTTACATTCACAAGGTGATGGGGATGCTCATAGTCCATTCTGTGTGTTCTGGACAGGGAGTTGGTGTGCCCTGGGTACAGTCCTGCTCCTCCTGCACCCACCATGCCATTGACCCCGTTGGTGACTTTGTGGTGGAGGTGGGGGCAGCCGTTGCTGAGGCCGTTGCTGAGGAAGCTGCCGTGGATGCTGCCGCTGACCCGGCTGGTCCCGGGCAAGGTCGTGTACTCAATCATCTGCCCACTGATATCTGCCCCTTGGTACAGGTAGCCTGGAGGGTCGTATTCTGCAAAAGACATTTCTACTGAAAGCACTTCTACTGAGCAGCCCTAAAAATAATGAAACTTATTTTTTCTTTCCCCAGCTTTTGTGAGCTAACTCTGCTATGCAACTGCTTAGCATACATATGCATGTAGACATGGAAAACAGCCACATCCTGGAGAGCAGGCCAGAAATGTTGGTCTGGAAGGACCTGGCTGATGTCAATCACTACAAGAGCATCCTAAAACCAGGCCTTTTGTATGACCAACAGCCCCTCTGCTGTATCTGCTATAAGCTGCTTCCAGAAGATCTCTCTGGGCTGCAGCTGAAGATACTATCTTTATTATCTCCTACATTTCTCTCTGTAGGAGAGTAAGAGTATTTAAAAATAACCACAGGCCGTGGCAAGAACAAGGCTGATTTATGCACAAGGAGCAGAAAAGGCCAGGGCAGAGATTCTGCTGGCTCTGGGTTGCTGGTGGGTGCAGAGCACCTTGCAAAGCTCCTGCTCCAGGCTCCTGCTCACTAATGAACAGGTTTTCCTAATTAACACCTCTCTGGAAGACTTGGCCATTGCATGCCATCTCATTGTGCAGGGACTAAGAGGTAACAAGGGACTTGTCCTAGAGCTGCAAGTTCTCTTTCTTTCCAGATGCACTCAAGAAAGGGAGAGATCCAGGGTTCAACTCTCCACAATTTTAACAAGTGATTATGATTACACACGTTCTGCCTCTGCAACCATCAGAGACATTGAGCCTCTGCATTGAGACCTATGCAGAGGCTCAAAGTTAAACACAAACTGGAGACACTTTGCCCAGGCCTTTTCCACACCATTCCCTGGGTGAAACTGCATCCCAGTCCTCCAGGGATCCAGCAGGACAGGGAGCATCAGTGTGAAGAAATGGAGACACTGCTCTTAAAAACCCAAGCTGCACCTAAGTCTGACTTGGAAGTACAAGTCTCTACGGAAATGCAAGCTGGCTCCTAACAGGAAACTGCTTCCCACCCATAAAATGCAGCATGGACATTCCTAATTTTACCCTCCCGTGAAACCAATCCCCACTCACTCTGCATGGCGTTCTGCTGCCGGTTCTTCCAGAGGCACATGGCGATGAAGACGATGAGGATGAGCACCATGACGCCCAGGACACAGCCCACGATCAGGTACAGCATGTCCCCGCTGCGCGTGGGGCCGCCGGCAGCCACGGCCCCGCTGCCCCCCGCCCGCTCAGGGGGGCTGGGGGGCGTGCTCAGGTCTCTCACCGGGTACTCAGACGCTCCCGGCGTGCGTTTCACTGGGTGAGGAGAGACAAGGGCATGAACATCCACGAAATGCATTTTCTAAATGTGTTTTTTTTCATCGCGAAATGAAAATGATTACTGCCAAGTCTGAGTGCCGATGCCTCGCAAAGAAAGCTTCCAAGTCGACGCTAAATCCTGCAAGGAGAATGCCAGCTCCTATTGGGTAGTAACTGTTTGCCTTGGAAAATGGTGATTATCCCCTGCTCACCCGCTCCTTGAGGTCACTGGAACTTTAACGAGCTGCTCGAGGTACCAGTGGCTGCAACTGCTCTAACTCTCAACTTGAAAGAGCACAAATCTTTCCACTTCTGAGGTCAGGAGAAACCACAACACTCATTTTTCTCGCCCAGGCTCTGCCAGATGACCTCCCCTTATCTGATATGAACCCTGCTAAACCCCTTTCCAAACCACACAGCTAAAGATCAACCAAGAGATGAACAGAAAATCACTGAAAATGAGATGCTGGTTTAACCCAGGAACTGCATTTACATTAGTTCCCAGTACACCACAGTTCAGATTGATTTCGTTTGACACTAAAACCCTAAAAGAGGTGCCTGGCTTAGGAGTGAAGCTGGTCAGAGAGAGACAAGCATCTCCATGCAGGTATGCTGGATAAACTGGATCACCCTTACAAGCCTGGGGGAGATAAATTTTAAGGAAGAGGCAGTGTGAATGACAGATTACATCTTGCCCATTTTAAAATTAGAGAAGAATATTATATTCCTTGCAGGAGGGAGACCAACTGTGTGCACAGCCTTGAAGCCCTGCAGCTCCTACTCCTTCCTTCAAAGGTTTCACTACTCACTTCACTGAATTTTGATGCTTCCGCTCCCAGAGGGCTTTTTTCTTTTTTTTTTCTCAAACATTTTTTCATAGCACTGCATTTGAAGTTTACTGTCTGCATTTTCCCTTTACAGCCTTACTTGGTTTTAGAGATTAAAGGAGACAGGAATTCTTCGCAAAATAAATGTGACTGCCATATCTGACACTTCCCGAGAACAGTACAAACTTTGTGCCAGAGGCATGCAGGATTAGGGATGGAGGCAGCCAACACAGCCATCAATTGCTGTGGTCTGCACTTATACAACGTGTCACAGAGCCCTGAAGACATAAAACAGATGTACAAATCAATTCTGTCATCTTGAGGCGCATGGTTGTCTCCTAAGGAGAGGCCATCAGCAGAGCAGAGGCAGCAGCGCTATCTCCGAGGGCAGGCAAAGCTGCAGAGCTCTGCTCAGAGCCTCAGGAGTGCAAAGGATCACTTTCCATATGTTCAAAACAATCCCAGCCTCGGAAGACAAAACAATCCTCCGAAACATTCCAGAAAATTATGGTCATCATGGCAGCTGACTTTTGTGCAGCACAGAAATCCCCCCGGTGGATCTTTGCCGTCCCAAAGGCCGGCCCAGCCCGGCCCCACAGCCTCACCTTTGGTCTCGCAGATCATCACGTTGCTGTACTCGCTCTCCCCTCCCTCGTTGTAGCACTGCATCTTAATGTCATAAGAAGTTTCAGGCTGCAGGTGATTTATCAGGTGCCACTGCTTCGTACCTGTGGAGGGGACAAAAAGTAAATTGCAATTCATTTACCCATAGGAGCCAGAATTATGGGAGAGTGCATTGCAGGGGCCTTTTCTACCAAATGCAAGGGCACTGCAGGTTGTCTTGTTAGCACAAAAATCTTCAGGAGTTGTTTATGGATTTAACTGAAACCAGGGTCCACAAGTGGCATCCTGCTCATGACAGAGGGCTGGAACTAGATGATCCTGAAGGTCCCTTTCAACCCAAATTATTCCATGACTCTCTAAGACTTGTGTTATCTTGTGAAATTGATTATTTTTAGAAATTGATTAGAAGGATCTTTTGATGAATTAATGGGAGGGTTTTTCAGTATTTTCTTTCAAAGAAAGTCATTCTCTACAAAAGCCATAACTCACTAAACTCAAAACCCAGACATCCAAGTGCCCACACATGTGCATTTAATTTCAACAGCAGCCCTGTGCACCCTAAACATGGAACTGTCAGAGGGATGGGTTTAGGGTGGATTACGCTGATTCTTTGCAGTACACTGGGCAAAAAACAAGGGAAACTGGCACAGAGATGGGACAAGGAAAAACTTGTCTGTGAACAGACTTTCTAGAGGTGCAAGGTACCACTGCAGCCATGGGTGTTACATGGAAAAGACTCATCTGGGTTGCTCAATTTGGTTGAAACCCCAAATAATTGAAGGTGCATTTTATGAACCATCCTGGGAACGCAGCAAAGCTGTCCTGGTGCCACTGCCCCTGCAGAGCCCAAGCCCCAGCCAAGCAATCTTCTCTAATAGGATGGTTTTGTCATCTCTGGCCCCCGGCCAGCTTTTCATTTAGACACCCTCCTGAAGCACTGAGCACTTCAGGATAAATCACTCCCAGTTTTTACTTTCACGGGCTTGTGACAAATTTTACTAAACAGCGACCCTTTTTTTTTTTTTTTTTTTTGGAGGGGGAGTTTAATTAACTGTTTGAGTGCTCTTAATCCCTCTTGGAAAATACCACCTTGAACTGTTTCCACTGTTTCTAAGGAACTGTCTACCACCTACTGATTGAAGCATTAATAAAAGGGCTCGGGCGTGCTCGGCTGTCACCGTGATGCTGCTCAAGCTCCTCCGGGACCCCAGCCCAGGTCCGGGACCCCCAGCAGGGCCCCTCAGCACCAGGGGCTGCCCAGCACGCTCCGTGTCCGCATCCCCAGCCCTGGCTGAGGCTGGAGCTGCCTTTGCCTAAATCGCACGTTTTTCCCAAGATTCAGCCTCGCTTTTCCCGGCGCCCCCACCCCCAAGCATTCCTTTCGGTAATTACTACACCAGGTTTTAGGTTTCCGCTTCAAACCATTAGTGGAACTGGAATCAGTACAGGCACTTTAACTGTCCTCTTCGTGCACCATTAGCAAGGGAAAACATTTAAACAACTGACATCAGACTGCATTTACATTTAAAATTCAATCTCCAGGATCCTCGAAACAGAGAAATTCAGACCCGAAACAGAGAAATTTAGACCAGAAACGGAGAAATGCAGACCAGAAACGGAGAAATGCAGACCATCGCTGCAGGACAGGGGTGATTTTTTTTTGCTTTTGCCTAAAGCGGCTGAGAGATACCGAGGAGCCATCAGAGCTTTTCTGCTTGTTTTTTCCTTCAAATAAAATCTGATTTTGCCTGCAGCGGCATTTATAAGGAAAAAAAAAAGGTTTCTGCAGAGTTTTGAATGTCTCGAAAGACAAGACTTAACAGGAAGCGGTGAGGAAAGCCTGCGGCAAGCACTTAGCTAGCACAGGCATCACAACACTTTTTCCACAACTCATGCAGTCATTTCAAGATAAAATTCCCTGTCATAAAGCAGATTAATTCAAAGGTAACAGAGGGGAAAAAAAAAAGAGCAAAGAACAAGTGATTTATGGCAAAAATACCTTAAGTCACATGTTCCTCTACATATTTCACATCAAGTGCTTCCAATCACAACTTAATTGAAAATAGTTCTCTCTCTTTTTTTTTTTTTCCTCCTGAAAAGCTAATTTAGGGGAGCACAGTAAAGAGAAGCTGAAGTTTAAATCTTTCCACCGAGTGATTTCTGTTGCAGGCTCTGGCAGAGCGGAGCAGCTGCTAATGGTTTCAGACTGCCACAAAGAGTTCAATACACACACGCTCGGAAAAAAAACCCGAAACAAGCTAATTTCACAGCACAGTGGAGCCCACTTAAACAACTAACTGCTCAGTGTATAAGATTTATAAACACACAAGCTCTGTCTAGCAAAGGCTAAAATACATTTGCAGATGAAGGTGAAGCCTGCATAAGGTTCTTTAAAGCCTCTGAGCTCAAACTCTGGACCTTTAATAGCTTTATAGTGTGCAAAAGCTTATGTCATGCATCAAAGTACTATGTGCAGTATTGTCTGGCAGGGGAAAATTTTCAAAATAAAGGTCCATTCCTCTTGTAACTGAATAAATGAGGGGGAAAAAAATAATTAACGTCATTGGGCCAGAATGAGATCACTGCGTTTGCTCAGGCTGAGCAATAAGGACATTAAATAAAATATTTTTAAAAGGGTTTTCCACTTCTGGACTAATATAGACATTATCTAATAACTTCTTCCAGGAAAATGATGATCTAATATGCACAGGGGAAAAAAATAACTTGATTAAAAGGCAAAATGAAGCACAAACATAGCTGCATTTGCAGAGTGCTGCAGCACTTGAGGCTAAAAGCAACTTCCTTATAGCAGGAGAAGTGATTAGGCGAGGTAAGAGGAGGGAAGGGCAATTACACACAAGATACTACCAGCTTAGAAAATCCAAATCCATGCTGGGGTAAATAATTTTAAAAGCCAGCTAGCTGTTAGTACAGTCTGTAACCCAGATGTTTTTATCCTGGGTTAAACCTCATTTACACTGCTCTCTCTTTATACAACTTGAAGCTACACCAGTTTAAATGGACCTTCATTAAGGCTTTGCAGCTGTATAACAAGCCAAACTTAAACCCAGCATTTAGCCCTCAAGCTTCCACGTCAAAGAGGCTTCAGAAGGAAGAAACCAGCTCACGTGTGGGCAAACCCCGACGTTAGGGAGCTGAGATAGCTCCTCCTGTGAGATATATTATAAAGACTGCTTGGGAAAAGCAGTTTAGATTTCATATAAACACAGCCAACACGGCTACAGGGTGTCCTTGCCCTTCTCCAAGCAGGCACCGTACCGTCCACGATGTCGCGCTTGTAGTCGCTGTCGTTGTCGCTGTCCGTGGGCCGGTAATAGATGTAAAATCCCTGGATGGGCGTGTTGTTGTTGCTCGATGTGATGTACTGCAAAAGAATTTTAAGACTGCATGAGAGGAGAAAAGTTTTAACTGAGTCCTGCTGTGCTGTCGCCACCGAGTAGCTCATGCTCTGCAAATATGGGTATTTTTAATAAGGGTGTGTAAGTGAAAGTGACTGAGCTCCCCTGAGTAGACAGAGAGTAGGATGGGTACAAGAGAGTGAGTTTAGGCCAATTCTTTCCTCCCGTATCCCTTCCCAAACCCTCAGTTAGGGTTTGATCATGCACAGCCTGAAAATCTGCATGATTAATGGAAATGGAAAAGTTAAAACCATAAAACTCTTCAGAAAGAGTTAAGGTCACTCTAAAAATCAGCCCAAGAATCTTTAAGTTATGCAGCCTCCTGAGGAACCAGAGGTTATTTTAAGTTTATTATCCTTAACATCTCTTAAGGCTGAGCTAGCAGAGCAAACTAACACTGGGAACTCTACACATTAAATCCTCCAAAGTATACCAGGGGGTTAGATTTCAAAACAAGAGCAAAGAATTTCTGTGGGTTTCAATAAGGACTTTAAAGTACTTGTTTACAATAGACGAGGTAACAGGGGAAAGGAAAATGTTTCTCTAACATGAAACCTCCACTGGATGTGAGGGAAGACGGCGGGTTTGAAACACTCTCCCAGCCACCCCAGCCTGGATTGACAAAAGCAGCAGGAATTGCAGGAAACGGAGCCAACTCACTCACAACTCATGGCATGAAGAGGGCTTGGGACAGAGCTAAGCCCACTGGTGCCTCCGAGGTGTCTGTGCCAGAGCAGGTGGACCGGGGCGGCTGCAGCCTCTCACTGGAGCTGCCAGTTGGGCACATCTGGTGTAACCCGAGCGGGGTGTGCGGGTCCCCGGGGAGCTGGAAGGGGAGTGGGGCGGAGGGAAGCTGGGAGATGGTGCAAAAGGCAACAGACAACTGACAGCGCTGCCTCTGAGCGGGAAAATGTGTTTGGAAATGGGGGCAAAGGGCTCGAGAGGCACAAGTCCCATTAAATGCCCCAGTTCTACCATACAGCCATGAAGTGCTTCAGCCCTAGGAACACAATCATCTCTATGTCTTATGGGGAAGAAAACCACTGCACAAACAGCATTAATCCTTGACTTTGCAGTACAAACTGTGGTAAGTGTTGGGGAAGAAGAAATAGGAAAGCCTTATAAATTTGATTGTCTGGCAAAAGATTTTGAGAATATAGAAACTATAAGTGAGATTGAAATGAAAGCAAGCTTTGAGATACCTCAGTTACTGAACAACTGGAAAACAGTGGTGTGGCTGGCTGAAGGTAATCCCCTTTTGATGGAACAACACCCTCTGCTTGCAGACAGGCCCAAGGGTCAGAGCAGACCCTACAGCTTGGCAGAAGGGGCCCAAAGAGGAGTTTTTAGGGTTTAAAATGTAGCACAGTGTGGTAATGCAATGATTCTTACAGGCTGTATGGAAATGCAATAGGATTTGTATCTTGTACTAGATTGGTTGGTGAGAATTAGAATATTCAACACAGAGGAAGATTTATGGTATTGTAACGGGAACTTCGCTGTCTTGTACCCTTCGTACATAAGAGCGTACCCTTCTTTGCTCTTACGCTTTTACTCTCTACCCTCTCATCCTCTCTCCCTCTCTCTCAGTCCTGCTCTGAGCTGTGGCTGGCAGCTCCCAGCAGGGCCCTGCACCCAGGCCCTCTGCAATAAACCCCAAATTCCACGACCTGGCTTCAGAGATCTCTCGTCTCCATCTGTCTCCACTGTCCTACCCCCCGTCGTTCCTACAGCGAGAAGAGGCCGAGCAGAGGCAGAGCTGCACGCACCGTCCACTTGAGCATGATCTGGGTGTCGCTGATGGCCTC